GTTTTATCCTGATGCGGGATTTGATAGACGTGCACGGTGCCATTATGCTGGTCAATGACACCTGAAGTAAGCCTTTCTGTAGAGATATTTGGTTATTGCTAGATACACACCATAGAATTTCTTATCCAAGAGCATCGTACACACGGCTTTCTCAATTTGTTTGGATGTTAGGCCAACGCATTGTTGGATATGGGCGAGATCAATCTCCGAATAGGGTTCGATTACGCGGGCGATTTCCTATAAGTTGGGCGAATGTAGCCAAATATGAGTTTAGGAAGGTTGCTGGTGAAAATGTATCCACCTTCTCTAACATGCTATCTCGAAGCTGCCTTGAATGAGCAGAGACCACTGGGTCGTTCATCAGTTCTTTGTTATATTCCTTGAGGCACTGGAACATCAGGTTAAGTTGGGAGGAAATCGATTGGATTTTATATGAATTTGAGAAGAATTCGGGCATAGGTAAATTGGTGGTATGACCAAAGATGCAGAATAAACTTTGCTTATCCCAATTGAAGCGATGCCTCAGTAGTTTTTAAACATCTGTCATGAATATTCATCACAATTCACATCAATTGTAATCCTTTTCTAACAAATCTGCCGAGATAGTATAGCATTTTGTTTCGTTTATTTAGCAATTACACCACGTTCAAGTACTTATATATTCTTTACCCAAAGGTTATTGTAACTATGATTACCTTGTTGAATTTACTTAAACTCCTTTCTTTGAAAGCCTCTGCCATACACTTCATTGCATCCACTTCCCTTCCTTGAACTGGTTGCAAAACCTGAAAGAAGGACTGTGTATGCTCGGAGAGGCACCGAATGTGAGCTCACCTTTGTGGCTAGCAGTAAAGGGATTGAATCTGCTTCATTTAACATTATCTATAACAACACTTCCATTCTATTTCTTCATCGGGATGAAACGAAATGTTACCTTACAGAGACACATATACTTAAGTGCCTTAACAGCTTTACTTTTATCGGTCAGTATATATCCTTCGAGTGCTTCATAACAGTATGAATAGGCAGTTTTAAAGTCTTTTTCATCCGAACAGTAAAGAATGCCGGA